TTGACTTCGACTTTTTTCGTTAAAATTTTGACTCGTAAATACAAAAATAATAAAATATATACTTCGGCTTTCTTATGTTAAAATTTTGACTTCGATTTTTTTATGTTAAAACTTTAACTCGTAAACACAAAAGTATTGTACATGCTTTTTTTTTTTAAAGGATTAGGTTCGAAATTTACTTTAAAAACATATTAAATAGAGAGAGAAGATTTATTATTATAAATAAATATAATGTAAAATTAGTGTAGATAAATAAAATAAAACAATAGATTTTAAGCTTTGACACCATGACTTGCGGCAATATTAGTTTACTTTAAAGTTGGAAAATTGGTTCGAAATTTGACTAGAAACGAAGGATCGTCCGTGCGAGCCAACCCTGATATGTTCCACAAATTATGTCGGCCATATGTCTTGATGGACATACAGCACCCACCTAATGAGGGGGGTGGTCATGATCCGTGCGTTCCTCATTCTGAAACCACTCATTCGTGCGGTACCAAGACTACTCATAGTCGAGTTTAATCTTTCGTGAGTCCATTTTTCTTTGGACAGCTTAATTTCGATCTTTCAAGTCGTATACACAGGAGTTTTTTCTTTGACTTTGACCCCGTAGGGTTACTCATTCTGAACTCTATAAGGAGGAACCTAACTCCCGTCACTCATCAACCCACGATTCTCAAAGTAGCCTTAAGCATCCATCTTTACCCGTAGAGCTTAAGGTCTCAAGCATCGACCCTTGAATACTCGTGGAGCACGCAACCTCAGTTCTTATGATATTATTACTTTTTGACATGGTGAGAACCCAATACCATGCCCACCCGTATCGTATGCAAACTCTCGTATCAAGTTTACGCAAGCGTCACACTTAAGCTGGTCAGCAGCCAGTTCGGAGCCTCTAGGCTCATCTCATCCTACATGACTCAATTCTTAGGGCTTAGGCCCTTAACATCAATGTAGGCTGCCCGTACGCATGATTGACACCTAACATCATGCTAGTCCCGTAAGGGGGACTTGGATGGACTGCCCTAGCTGCAGCACACCTCTACCGATTGGTCACAAAGGTCTAGCAACGCGCCTGCCTGTTAGCCCGCACATCCCTTAGGCTTGATGGCATCCCTCCTATGCAAACACCATCTCATGATCCTTCTGGCTCAAGGAGGGGAAACCGAGGGGCATAACGAACTTTACCATGTAACCCCATGGCTCAACGCAAAGGCGCGATACGAGGCTCGTCGACCTCAACCGTCTCCGGGTTTACCATGACCCGAGGAAACATCATGCCACGCTCGTGACCCTACAATGTCCGCCCACCTAGACACCACTAGTGCCTAGGAGTAGCTCACTTCAGCCTAGCCAAGCTCCTGTGTCACGGGTCGAGACTCAAGCTCCGAACCCGCGCGGCTCCGGGACCCGGGCATTCACATTTTCGGTGTCCCAGATCAACCTTTCTGCCACGGTTCACACCCTTGTGAGGTATTATCCGCTCTGACCCCCCTGGCCTCACGGTTTTGTCCTACAAAAGGTGCCTCACAAGACGGAGGTAGTGTGAACCCTTATATACCCCAGTGACCTTCCTATTATGTTCGATGTGGGATTCAGGACTGTTCCTTAGGTCTGTGACATTCTCCCTCACCCAACCTCGTGACGCCCTCGTCACAGAGGCTGGCCACCCTGCCTACATCCCTCGAGGTGCTTGGCGTGGATCGAACGGTATAGGGCTGGCTCTGATACCACTTGTCACGGATCGAGACTCAAGCTCCGAACCCGCGCGACTCCGGGACTCGGGCATTCACCCTTCCGCCGTCCCAGATCGACCTTCCTGCCACGGTTCACACCCTTGTGAGGTATTGTCCGCTCTGACCCCCTAGCCTCACGATTTTGTCCTACAAAAGGTACCTCACAAGGCGGAGGTGGTGTGAACCCTTATATACCCCAGTGACCTTCCTATTATGTTCGATGTGAGATTCAAGACTGTTCCTTAGGTCCGTGACACCTGCCTGCCCCCTAGCCAAAGGGGTGGTGGAGAGCTGACACCAGTCATCCCCCTATAAAGAGCGTAAGAGATTTTCTCAGTCTCCTACCAGTAACCGTAAGATTGTTTGAAATGTGGATACTTTTCTCTCCAGCCATCTCAGGACCTTTCTCCGGCTAACTCAGGGCCCCATAACTTTCCTCTTGGTCACCATTATTCATTGATTTTACTCGTTACTCCACCAACCCACTCGAAGGTGCCTGCACATGACTTCGATCGACAGCACCTGACTGGCTAGCTGGTCTTAGGGCACCGACGCACTGCCTCACACTTACCTGCATATCTTGAGGTTTAGGGCTCAGACTATCCACACACAATATCCCCAACATATTCCCATGCTCAGAATGCCCGCACACTACTTCCACTGATGGCACCCGTCGGGTTACTTGGCTTGAGGGTGCTTGACCACTGTCCCGAACTTACCCATATATCTTGCGATCCAGGGCTCTCACTACCCGCACACCATATTAGTAATATGTTCCAATGCTCCAAATGCACGCCCGCATTACTTAGAACCACTTTCCCGTCAACTTGGTCTCGACTGCTGCTCAGTTCAGGGTCAGTCATGGTAGGACCAAGGCACACCAAAGCCTGACATTAAAAAATGGACTCACAAAAGGCTGACTTCGACTATGAATAGTCTTAGAACCGCACAGATGCGTGATTTCAGAATAAAAAACGTACAGATCGTGACATGTGGTATCAGAGCCTAGGTTGGGCTCAATGACAAGATTACGTGAAAATGTGTGGGCCTAATGACATGAAATTGATGTGGTACTAAGCTCAAAAGAGCTATCAAGATGCGAATGTGGTTCGATGGCTATGGGGGCTCGAAAAGGAGCCAACGATGCGTGCTGTGGGAAAATTTGGCCTATGTAAAAATCTCTCGAGTAGACTTTTGGATGCCAAGCAAAAGAGCACTAACGTCTAGCCTTACCTAGAAAAAGATGTTGGCATGTTTTGAGGCATGTGATGCATTTACGGTGGAAGAAACTGTGGTGAGACCAAAATGCGAAAAGGGGCTTACACCATGAAATGGTGTTGTGTAAGGCCAGTGGGGCCGAGTGAGTTTTGTCCTGAGGGACACGAGACATGCGTATCAAGATTAATGACTAATGTGTGCACTTATTATATGGTGTAGGTGCCCCAGCAGAGGTGTAAGCCAAAATATTCGGGTCCAAGCATGGAGCTATTACACAAAATGAGTGTGAATTGACTGAGGATTGAAGCCATGAGTTGTGATGGTCGGTGGACCATGAGTTCTCGTGGTTAGTGGATCACGAGAGTGTGTGAGTCAGCGAATCGAGTTTTGTGTTGGCCAAGAGGAAAGGCCTCACATGTGGTGGTGGTGGTCAGTGGGCCACAACAGAGTGTGATCTAGTGGAACAGGCAAATGGGAATTGGCCAGTTGACATGGCCTTCAAAAGTGTAAGTCAGTAGACCTTGAGAATTAAACGGGTGGCTGAATCCCCGAGTCAAGCAAGTTAGTGAATGAGGTGATTAGTTAGATCAGTGGATCTCTGGGTATGGAGTGGACTTTGAGATGCCCTAGGAGCTATGCCAGAGTCAAAGCAGACGAACTGTAGAACCATCAAGGAGACATGGTTGCCTATAGTGCTGAACCAAGTTTCGAGTAAAAGTGAGGGAGAAGTAATTCCCTGTGGGATTGAGTCAAGACAGAGAAGCCTGAGTAGATGGAGCATAGTGTTCGAGCTAGGAGCAGAGATCGAGATAGCACGCGTTAAGGTACCGCCTCAAGGGCAGTTGGCCAGAGGGCCACACCTAGAGAGGTGACCTTGAAGAGGCTGAGATGTCTGAATGTCACTATGCTAGGGTCTATCGTGTGTGGTGTCGTATGAGTGCGGTTGACCTAAGCACCACATCCAGAGGAACGCATCGCAGAGTCGATGCTGCAGGCGTGCAGTTGGTGTGAGAGGTCACGTCCAGTGGGACGCACCAATGAGTGACGAAGCAAGTGGTCTCCATTCTACTAAGGGTCATTGATCAATGAGGTTGCCTCGAGGTCACAACGTGATATGATCAAAGGAAGCAATGTTGTGGCACATATGCAGCAACCAAGATAGGTTGAGACAGTTCGAGTAGGAACAAAGCGGAGGTGCATTGGTGCTGGGATGTGACCAATCTACATCAACAATGGATGAGTACTATGGGTGGTGCCCCATGTGACGGGACCTCAACCCAATCCTTGAGGGCACAAGTGAGGGACATATGAGTAAATGTCGACTGTGTGCAACAAGAGAGTTGGGTGTGGCCTTGGCGTCGATGAGGGCATCGACATAGTAAGTAGGGAAGAGTGTCATGGTCAGGCCTTGGTGTGCCTTGATCCTGCCATGATTGACCCCGAACTGAGCAACGATCGAGACCAAGCTGGCGGGAAAGTGGTTCTAAGCGATGCGGACGTGCATTTGGAGCATTGGAACATATTACTAATATGTTGTGCGGGCAGTGAGAGCCTTGGATTGCAAGATACACGGGTAAGTTTGGGATAGTGGTTAAGCACCCTCAAGCCAAGTAGTCCGACGGGTGTCATTAGTGAAAACAGTGTGCGAGCATTCTGAGCATGAGAATATGTTGGGGATATTGTGCATGGATAGTCTGAGCCCTAAACCCCAAGATACACAGGTAAGTGTGAGGTAGTGCGCCGGTGCCTTGAGACCAGCTAACCAGTCAGGTGCTGTCGGTCGAAGTCATGTGTGGGCACCTTCGAGTGGGTTGGTAGAGCAACAAGTAGAATTAAGGAATAATGGTGACCAAAAAGAAGGTTATGAGGCCCTGAGTTAGTCGGAGAAAGGCCCTGAGATAGCTGGAAAAAAATGTCCCTATTTTAGACAATCTTACAGCTACTGGTAGGAGACTGAAAAAATCTCTTACGCTCTTTATAAGGGGATGATTGGTGTCAACTCTTCACCATCCCATTGGCTAGCGGGCAGGTAGGAGCCTGGCTAGTTTGAAATGAGCTACTCCTAGGCACTAGTAGTGTCTAGATGGACGGGCATCGTAAGGTCACGAGCGTGGCACGATGTTCCTCGAGTCATGGTAAACCCGAGGACGGTTGGGGCTAGCGGGCCTCATATCACGCTTTTGCGTTGAGCCATAAGGTAGTCCATCCAAGTCCCCTTTATGGGACTAGTATGATGTTGGGTGTCAATCATGCGTGCGGGTAGTCTACACTGATGTTAAGGGCCTAAGCCCTAAAAACTGAGTCCCATGGGATAAGATGAGCCTAAAGGCTCCGAGCTGGTTGCTGACCAGCTTAAGTGTGACGCTTATGTAAACTTGATACAGGAGTTTGCGTACGATACGGGGGAGTATGGTATTGGGTTCTCACCATGTCAAGAAGTAATAATATCATGAGAATCGAAACTGCGTGCCCCGCAAGTATTCAAGGGTCGATGCTTGAGACTTTAAACCCTGTGGGTAGAATGGGTGCTCGAGACCACTTTGAGAATCGTGGGCTGATGAGTGACAAGAGTTGAGTTCCTCCTTATAGAGTTCGGAATGAATAACCCTACGGGGTCAAAACAAAAAAAAAAGCTCCTGTGTATACAGCTTGAAGGATCAAAATTAAGCTGTCTAAAAAAAAATGAACTCACGAAAAGTTAACCTCGACTATGAGTAATCTTGGTGCCACACGAACACATAGTGTCAAAATGAGGAACAAATGAGGAACATGCGGATCGTGACAAAGGGCGTGGCATATTTAGCCAACCAACCCTTTCAAGACTTTCTCCCTCCTTGCTAAGCTACTATATAGATAAGTTCTTTTGTACTATTCGGTTCTTTACTTGATGTGGGATGCTTCTAATCAATGGCCACGGCCGCAGCGAACTCTGGAGAGAAAAGAGGAGGGGTTTTAAGTTTTTAGGCAGCAAAATGTTACCTAGTGTTTGGAAGTGTTCATGAGTTCTAAATAAAATCGACCCTTTGCTTGAAGGCTGGCAAACTGATGAGACGAGAACTCTTGTACATAACAAGAAAACCTAGTCATGCATGCTCTACAAATATGATGACACAGTCAAAGTTTGTATTGGTCGTGCTGATGATTCTGGTTTTTCTCTACAAATGACCATGGATATGCAAGTTTTCAAAACATAAATAACCCTGCCATTGAGCAGCTGTACATAATAGACAAATGCTTTCCCATCGCAAAGTGGGGTCATACAAAATGCAAAAACCAATGCCATGTATCACTAGTTTCAAGACAGCAGGACAGTGAGAATTGGGAACTTCATTAGAACAAAATAAAGGGATAAACTTCAATGCCCTGTTTACTAACAGGTCTCCCAACAGAAATATCACCTTCAATATTGAAGATGAACATTGCTTAGAGAAGTCCCCTCCTATCTACCGGCTTCTAGGAATTTATGTAACACATTGCCTGTGCTTGATGGAAATAAGAATCTTTGTATTTCCTGCCACTCCCAATGTGAATCCCGTTGCGAATCCAGTCCTCTCGATGTATCCAAGCATCTCGACCAAAATCTAAAACTCCAAGGATCTGTATAAACAGGATGCAATAAACATAAGAAATACATTTTAAATAATCTATGGAAATCTACATCAAGATAAGCAAAATTTCACCCCATGAAGATATTATTGCACAGGCAAATTGCAATGACCAAATGCGTTTTCATTGTACCAGACACAAAAGAATCTCAAACATGGAAAAGAAAAAGGATGGGAGATGACTTACAGCTCCGCCCTTCCAAGACACAAAAGTTGGATTTGTTCTCGATTGCAAAACCTATTTCACAAGTGGGGATCCAAGAATACCAAAATCAAGATCCAAAGCTCAAACAAATAAAGAGACAAATTATAAGGAACAGAAAACCACAAACAGGCTAAAACCTAATTCAAGTATAAAACTAACTTAAACTAATCATGAAATAACATTAAGGAACAGAAAACTACAAAGAGCCAAGAACCTAATTCAAATATAAAACTAACCTAATTCAAATATCAAACTAACTTAAACTAATCATGAAATAACATTGGACATAAAAGATTTTATAATTTTTTTGAGTTACAATATAGAAAAATTTAGTTAATCTAAATATCAAATGATATACACTTTTTTGACCCCATACATATTCCTTTTTCACCAATAGTTATGTATAGAGCAATATATTGCATTGACCAGGAATTATTACTTATATATTCAATATTAAAATTAAGTCCATCTAAATATCACAATAGATAATATGCCCAAACTTTAACCACATTGAAGTGGCTACAAGCTGGCACAAAAGAAAGGCATAACAACTTTATAATGAAGATTAAAATTTAGCAGACTTACCTCAACAGTATCAATTGCTTCAGTTGAAGGAATGGCATGTAAGACTCTGCATGTATATAAAAGAAGAGACAAAGATGATACGGGTGTCAGAATCACCTACAGGAACTAAATTATTACCACTGGATTTTAAATAGCACTAAGAAATAGTCTATTATTCTGGAGAATAGTAAAAAATAGATCTCAATATGTTTCTTGTAAGTTACTCCGCTAATAAGGGTAGTAGATAAAAAAAGAATGAATGTACAAAGTACAAGCATTCCGGACTGTTCCAAGCCTGAAATAACGAGCACATAAGAACCCAGCATTTATATCATTCTCATAACTCTTGAGATGATGAATTAATAAAAAGCAGAGTAAGAATCCAGTAGCCAAAATTTCCATGATGAGAGTATGCAAAGAAATGTCAAACACAAGGTAATCTAGAAGACACTTATTACCATTTTCTTGGCAATCAATGCACTTAAGCCATTCTAAGTCAACACCGCCAATAGAGAGAACTAGGCATTTGAACTAACCTAAGTTAGTACTCTTCCAGCCAGATACTTTAAGATGTATGCTTCAAATTAGCAGTTAGACACACCACTCCGTATAATGTTAGCTAGAATCATATATGCTTAAAGTGGGAGGATAACAAACTGGGGGGAGAGAGAGAGAGAGAGAAACCAACCTCTCCTCCACAGCAGGAATTAGTCCACCAGTTAAAGCCACTCCACCAATCTGAAGCACAAACCAAGTTACAAGTTCAATTATTAAAAATAAAAGCATCTCATGTGTCTACACTTCCAAAGAAACTCACCAATTGTATGCTACAGAATAATTTTCTTTGCAGGTCTATGCGACCTGCAATTAAAAAGAACCAAATGGTTAGATAGGGATAGCATTATAGCTTATTAGAACATGCTAAATTAGCAGTACACAAACCTACCGGTTGAAAGAATGCTACTGGTTATCGCTTCTGCTAGACCAACCTTCTCTTCTTTCTTTGGTTTCATTGAAAAAAATGGGTAGTTATCCCACATTGGTAAACCAACATTAATGCCAGGATATAGACCATCTGGCATGTCAGATCTTCTTGGGAATTCAATATGCCATGTTTCTTCCAGCATATCTTCATAGTCATGAAACCTGGATAAGCACACCATCAAAACAGTGCTAAAGGAAATAATTCAAGACTTGGACAGGTATACTAACCAACAGCAAGAGCAATAACTTGGAAAATTATTACTAACCAAGAACGAGGTGGTGGAGGATACAAATCAGGAATTAAAAGTGTTGGATAGAACAAACCCATAGGAGGAACCTATTTAAAACAAACCATCAAATGTAAATCCTTCAAGAAAATAAAGGAAATGATATCTGAGTTCAATTGAAAACGTACATTGAGAGCAGTTAGCCTTGTCTTATGAGATCCAGCAGGCATGGCATCCTCATAAGAATGAACTATAGCTACAGCATCAAGTTCACCCTCCTATGCAACGATACATAGAAAAAGTACAATAAGAGTGTTTCCACAGCAAAGAAACCAAAGAGTACCAGGTCCAGGAGCCAAATGATTCACCTTGATTTCACAATAGGACTCTTTTAGCCTGTTCAACATCAATAGATCTATAGGCTTTGTCAAAATGTCAGTACGAATTTGGGGCCATGTCTGATGATGCCTCTGAGTCCAAAGAAGGCATCTTGATATATCCTGGAAAAGGAAAATGAAATAAAAATGACATCACCAACATAAAAAAAATCGTAAGATATCTTTATTTTAATCTGAGATAGAAAGTTTTAGATGAACCCTTTACGCTAATGGGCATAAACAAATTTCACCAACATCAATATTAGCTAAACATTTATCAATGAAGCTTCTTCCTTTGCATGAAGGAAAGCTGAGGAACAGAAAGAATGATGAGAATTCAAACCTCTCCACCAAAGGGTAAAGTCTTCTCTGTATTAGGTAGAGCCACTCCATCCTGCACATCAAAAGAGTTATTAAGGTAATGTTTGGATAAATATTTATAAAGGAAAGGAATAGAAAAGAAAGTTTTTTAAAAGAAAGGAAATGATATATGTACCCCTTGTTTGGATAATTAAAATTAATAAAGGAAAGGAAAAGAAAAGAATTCTAACACCCATTGTTTGGATAAAGAGTGAACAAGAAAGGAAATGATTCATTATAATAATTTTTTTCCAATTATAACCTTTCATTGCCTATGATTTTAGAGCATTCCTGGACCATGATATATTTGCTATCTTGTATGGCCTCACAATTGCTTCTACATCAGTGGTTTTTAATCGAGTGAAACAAAAAGATGTTTTACAAACATGCATTAATGGATTTTTTTTGCCATTGCCAAAATTTCAGCACACTATCACTTTGACGATGTATTCATATAAAAGCTATTAAATATAAAAAATGCAATCACATAAAAACATTACATCTCATAAACCCAAAAAATATGTCTATTCATATTCAATCATTCATCAAAATCAAATTACCAAAAAATTATAAAAAGTTTTTATATTGGAAGAGATATGTGAAACTTACTTGAAAAAAAAGATGACATTGAAAAAATTACAGGAAAATTGTGATGTGGTTAGGTTTTTTTTACAAGGTTTTTAATATTAATAAAAGGATGGATATAATAGTCTTTTTATAAAAATAATATTTTTTCAACTTTTCTTTCCTTAGCTTTTCCCCCAAATTAGGGTATTAAAAAAGTGAGGATTATAAGGGAAACCAAAGGTTATTGAGTTTCCACTTCTTTCCTTTCCTTTAATTTAAAAGTTTATCCAAACAAAAGAAGGGTTTTTCTGTTTCCATTACTTTCCTTTATTTTCCTTTCCTTTCCTTCCCTTCCCCTCAATCCAAACATAGTGTAAAAGAATAAGATCACAGCTCTTGTAAATTAATCGTTTCCCAGTGGTCACAGATCTTGACATTGGGTTTTGAAGGGGGCTAATATTAATATTATGCTGAACTTATTCATTTATAAGTAGGATCCTACTATATTTATTAATATAAAATATATATATTTGCAAGCAATATACTTAGAAAAAATAAGTTCACAAATTATAAATTTTATCAATTCATGAACAAATTTATAAAGAAACAAAAGATATCAAATAAATAGTTTTATTTAACTTTATTCTGTTAAAGATATATTTTATTTTTCTTATTTTGATGAAAGACATATTGTTTAACAATTGATTTATTTTTCTATCGATTCATGAACAATATGTTTTTCTAACATTTTACAAAGTGATCCCCAATCTTTGCAAGATAGCAAGAGAAAGAGATCCAGAGTAGAATTATATGGAAGGAGAGAGTTGTAGCCTCCTAAAAAGAAAAGTAAAAACATGTTTGATAATTGGTTGGAGATTTGAAGTCTTGTTGAGGAAACTAGAGCGTCAATTTGGTTTTTGTTAAATTTACATGATTGTAATTTAACTCTTGTGACAAACCTCTTGATTTTAAGGGTTTGTAAGTAATGATTGGTGAGTAAAATAAATAGACAAATACTGATGTAATTTTAATCCATCCTAAATTGTAATATATAAAATTATAAAAAATAAATAAAATTAACAATTTTAGTTTGAGGGGACCAACTTAAGTTTATTTGATATAAATACATTCATACATACCTACATATATATATAGACATATATATACATATATATATATATATATGTACCGAAATGATAGCATCATAGTCAAGGTGTTCATTTCATCTTTAAGTTAATAATTTTAATGACAGAGGCAGTGATATTGACATTGCCAGCAAGACCAACTATATGATTTCCATGTGTGATAGTAGGAGCAATAGTCTTTCAATTAGTATGAATCCAGCATCGGAAGTCAAGGTGACGATGGTCATCAAGCTAAATGTAAATATTATGGTGGTAATGACAACAGTCGAAGACCGATGGTGTTATGAAAGGAAACGGAGTGTTCAATGGAGGTGGTGATGGTGCTCAAGATAAATGTAAATATTATGGTGGTAATGACAGCACTCAAAGACTGAACAAAAAGTGACAGGTATCAAATTGATGTTGGATGAATAGATGATAGTAGATAAAGCAGAGTAAAAGGTTTCCTCTGTCTTGTCATTGAGGGTTTTTTTTTTTTTTTTTCTAAAGAGATGAGAGAGGGTTTGGAGCTGAACTAACCCTCCAAGCTATCTCAAAATATCATTCTTAAAATTCCCTTCAACAGGAGGGACTTGAAAGTAGAGTATTCCATTTTAATAATTTCAGCTCGTGATCCCTTGTTCCCAATAAATAGCAAAGAATAAATGTACACAAACAATAAAAGCAACATATTTCTATTTGAGTCAGTTACCTCAATGCAAATGACTGATGTCACTTGACCACCCATATTTACAACACAGGCTGTTGATAGACCGTTCCCAAAAACTGCTGCCAGGCCTTCCTGAGATCATCATATTTGAAACAAATATTACACATCAAAGAGTAAGTTACTACTTCAAGAGCATTTCTACTGGCAAAGCTGGGAAAAGCAAATCTCATGAAAGAAGAACACAATCAGTAAGAATGAGAACAAAATATGATAGCAATGCAGGATACAGTTATTTTATCACCACAAAATGATATCAGCATGGTTCTTCCGTTTATAAATTTGAGTACATATATGACATTGATACAAACTTTTATACTGAGTAAGAACACATGCATACGTACAGACTGTAAATGAGTCAGACAATTTCAAGGAGGAAGCCACTTGTGTTTAATCAGTATCGTTCCTATGAAGGAAAAACAAAAAATCCCTAATGGAGTGCCTTAATCATCCCACAACAAACTTATACTACACAACCACGAATCCATCGAACACACATGAGCAAAAGCTAAATCAAACAACCGTGGGATCATCACTCTAAATATTTCCAACTTGCCAAGGTAACTGGGAAAGTGCCAGTATTAACAAAAGTAATAACTAAGTACTACTTGGGCTGATACATCATTCAGTTTAATGCCCATTATTAAAACTTAATTTACATTTGCATCTAAGAAGTAGGGGAAGAATTTCTCACCTGGTGTACTACTGCTGAGCTAAAGTGCAAGTCTCGCAGTAAAATAGATACTATCTCCTTTATCTCTGCTTGTAACAATCCACAAAATTGTAAATTACAAAATATCCCATATAATCTACAGCATCTAAGTTGCAACAGATATTCAAGAGATAAAAGTAAATCGGATTGGGGAATGATCTTATTGATACACACACAAACTGAATCTGGAACTTCTACCACAAGACAGAATATAGAGAAACAAAGGGTTGAGACTTTCTCCAATTAGAAAATGATAATTTTTAAATACCACGATTATCAAATGTCTCTGGCACAACAAGAATAGCAGAATATAAACTCCTTTCTTGGTGAGGAATATGCAATTTCTCTAACAAAATCCAGTCCCATAGAGCATGCAGATCTTCAAGGACCTGCAAGATAATAATTTTACGAAAGTAGATGTATTTGCCCTTTTTTAAACAATACAACACATAATTAAGTTTTATTATCTCAATGTAAACAACAAATTAAGCAGGACCAAGATAATTCAAGATGTAATTGCAGACATGTGATTCGTTAAACCTTAAAAGGAGATATAACATGCACGTTCCTTGAATGTAGGAAAGTCAACAAACAAAGAGACTATACCTGCTGCATGGGATAATGTTGTGAAATATTTAGATGACCTCTACGAATAGGACGACGTAAGCAATATGGCTCAGTGGGAGATATCCTTAGTGCTTCCTCACCGCATATGACCTCCTTGAACTTTCGTTCAGTCAAAGTAGGTTCTTTTGAATCGGTCACTTCCTGTTCGACCAAGGACTCATTTATAACACTTTTATCCATTGAACTTTCTGCATAACCAATATCCATGTACAATAAGATTAAAGTAAGACCAAAGGAATAGAATTTACAGCTGAAAATATTAAGAGCCATACTATCAAAAGAAATTGCTTAGAATTAGAAGCAATAAGGGTGCACCAAAAATATTTAGTAGATCCAGTCAAACAAGAAAGAGTGAGAATATGGCACAAGGCAAAAAAATTAGAAATTCCTAATTACCTGGTGCCACTGATGACTTTAGATCCTTCACATGTATATCAGTCCAAGTGAAGGCTCCATCCTTCCTGGCATTCTGAGGATTATATCCATCAACACGTCCCATCTGCACATTAGTTTTAGTAATTTTTGTACTACAAGCTCTTATTGGTCTATAGATAGGCACCATTATCGGCCATGCTTAACTTCAGCTTAAAATGCTTACCTTCCGCGGGACAGAATTATTGGCAACCTCTTCATCAAGGAACGGTATCTTCAACAACGACGCAATCTTTCAAACAACAAAAACATTGATTTTCAAAATTTGATTACTACATAAAAATGTGAATATATATGTAACGAGAAATGAAAGCAAAAATGAACACACTCACGACATCATAAGCCTTTTCGCGCTCCATATGCTGCATTGTGGTAACTTGAGAATTAAGCAACTGAAAAACAACAAATCCAAAATCCCATCAAAAAATCCAAAATTCCATCAAAAAAATCCAAATCCTAAACCCTTAAAAAGGAAAAGAAGGGGGAAAATGTAGTTAATAAAGGGAACCTGATCTTGAACATTTAACTTGGAAAATTGGTTAGTGCGACGAGCAATGCAATGAGGAATATTGTAAGGAGAGTCTTGCTTAGCCAACCCTACTCTTACACTTGCAGAGCCTAAGCAAATTGCAACCAAATTAGTTCATTTATTTTTTTTTTAATTTTAGGAAATTTTGTTAGAAAAAGAAAAAGGAAAAAGGAAGTACCGGGGTTGATGACGACGAGATTGGAGCCACGTTCCAGGAGGAGTTGAGAAGGGACAACCGTTTTCAAATAATCCTGCAAAAACGAAACTGGAAATTCAAAAATTATTATATTTATTAAATTTTTTTTAATGAAACTAGGTTTTTTCTGGTTTCACCATAATGAAAAGTTAAAAAAGGATGAGCTAGTTCTTGAATTTTGAAGAAATTCCAGATTTGTTATTTCTTCTTCACTTCTTTTTCTGGCCCTTTTCCTCTTGCTTTTTTACTTTCACTTTCAGCAGGGAACCCGCTGCGACGATCTCCAAATTCTTTTGCTTGTGAAGCATAAGACGTGAAACGGTGTCGTCGCCGCTTTGTTAACTTTGTTCCATCAAAGGTCAGAGCTTTTTTTTTGGGTAAGAGCCCAGAAGAAATGGGCTGGCATGATATGAAGAAAAAGCTACTGTTTTTTTTTTTCTTTTAACTTAGATCTCAGCTTGAATTAAAATATTTTCTAAAACTTTAGTATTGTATTTATGGTCTAAAAAGTTTTTTTCCACGTGGCATCGGTAGAAGTGGCTCGCTTACTCTTTGCTTCACTCAACACCACTCTGTTCATTTCAATTGCAAGTGAAAGTGGCAGCTGACCTTACCACTGGATGATTTTCTCAAAATTCAAAAAATATTTACTCCTTTCTTTATTATCTGAATTATAAAAATTTATGAAAAAAATATTTTTTTCATAAATTCGCTAAATTAGAAGTAAATAACCTTGTTTAAACTAACTCGAAAATGGGATGTAAAAATCCATGAACCCTTTCAAACTACAAAGAAAATAGCAGCTGACCATCCCAAAACAAGTTGAGACCATATCGTAGTCTTGAGGTTCTACTTTGCATTTCTAACTGTTTAACCGTTGCAGGCATAAAAACATGACACAGACCATTTACATTCACCACAACAACTTCATGACAGGAAGTGGAAATAACGAACAAGTAAATAGAGGTAAGGTGCAAAAATCATAATCTAAGATCAATAATGGAAAAGAATAATCAAAACCAAAACCAGTGATCCCGATATTTTCCTATCACCTGTGAATCCACCCTATCTCCTGATCTAATAATCTTTCTTTCTTCAGTTTTGAATACATGAATGCATGAAACATTAACGAGTGCTGAAAGTATTGCTGCCTTAGAGGGCAGCCATGATTCCAGCACTATAAAATCTATCATACGCCATTTGGAGTCTAAACCAGGAAATAGAAGTATTCATAAAAACCCTAGACTTTGAACTCAAAATCATATTGTCATAGAAAATAAAAAAGGGGACAATGATTAAAGTTTTCAAATGTTTCAGTAAAAAAACTAACAAAAACTTAGCAACTCCTTAAATTTGGAAACAATCAGCATTTGATTAGATCTGCAAAATATTATCTGGTGTTGCACAGCAACTACTTGACATCATTTCAATATGAAGTGTTGAAGAACTTTCCAATCTTCACCAGCTACCTTTTTCAATATATCTAAGCAGCTTTTGGCTTTGTAACCTTCTTCTTTAGTTGCCTCTTTGGTATCGAGTTCTTCATCCCCCAGAAGAAAATTAATGCACCGCATTGTGCAACACACTGCATTGATTAAAAAAAGAAAAAGGAAAAATCAATGAAGTTCTCACATCATAATGCCTGTAAACACTATAGATATGCATTTGTACATACCTGCAAGAAATCACTGAGCAGAACAGAGTATTGGGGCTCTTTGGGACCATAGTTGTAAAAGTCATACAGGAGAGGAGTGCTAACCAGCAAGTACACAAACTATGGCAAAAGAAAGGACAATATTTAAATAAGACATAAAAGTAAAAGCAGAAGAAAATGGTAGGTGCATGTTCAAATGTAATAAAAATAATCACCCAAAAGAAACAAAATTCTTACCAGGAGGAAGGCTCCAAAGCCATGGCCAAATACAAATAGAATAGCACCAAGACCCTTTAAGGCGATTGCAGTTGCAGCTAATTGTCTAACCTGTGTAAAAAAGTATCCATATCAAAAAAGAAAGTACAACTAGAGCAATATGAAGAAGATAAACCATATTAACACAAACTTAGTATATCAAAATAAGAAAGAAAAGTCATTACAAGTTATTTAGAGAGAATAAGAATATCTTACTTCAATATCTGGCAAATTTACGTGGAGTTGAGAAGATATATGTTTCTTAGCAAGATCAAGCTTTGGTGTCAACTCCTTCGCTGCAGGCCCGCCATCAACCCCAAATTCATTGAACCTGCCAACATATGGAATATGTTATTATATCTACAAGATATCACTAGTGTTTAACGACCAGTCCTAGCCGAGCTCTTTTTACATAATATCCAATCTTATCATTATGGCAGCAATTGCTGGCAATAATATAGCAGCAGTGCAGCAAAACTCAGTACAGGGAAAAGCACTGAAATTAGACCATCCAAGCCAGCATGGTTATGATGGGATTTTGGCAAAGCATCAAGAAATTCAGGGCATTGAATCAACTGCCATTATAGAACGACAAGAATCGATGAAATCACACAGATTACCACTTCATGGTACTAAGATTCATCTTCTCAAAATGACATGGCTAACACAACAATATCTCAGGGAAGTAGTTAAACAATACAACCATTTTCACTAAAACTAACCATTCAGTTCTGAACTTGTAAATATCAGGTTCATTCAACCAATAAAAAAAAAAGGCAACAAAATGCTTCTCATACCAATTTTGCACCCTGTCAAATTTCAACATTTAGAAACTATAAGGCATAAACATTAAATTTGAAAAAAAATTAAAAAAAATCCTCCTACTAACTCCCCAATTTACAATCTTAAAAAATGGCCCAGATCTTCAAGAAAAGTCATCATTAACCACAGTTACAAATAATGCAACAGTACCCAAAATATACCTAAAACTTAGGAAAAACAAAATTAAAAAAAATCCAGATCTAACAAATAAACATATTTCTAAAACAACCCAACAAATGGATTTAAAGAGATCTAAAAAAAGATAGAAAAAGTGATTACATTTGCCAAGCGGAGAGAATGAAAATAGAAGCAAAGAAAACTCGTCCAACAAATGAAGTGAAACCCATTTTTCTCCCCTTTTTCTTCTCCCCACTTGGTTTCGAGCCAAAAAAAATGCTAAAAGATCGAATTTCAGGGTTTTCCTTTTATGTTCTTTGCTGCTACCTTCTCTCAAGAGAGAAAGGGGAAATTTCGGGTTTTGAGGTGGGTCAAATATTTATTAATTAAAGGGAAAAAATGAAGTCTATAAGAATTTTATTGAGGTGATATGAAATAGTTTCCTACTTCTGGGTTTGGAGTTTAGCTTAATTACGCCTTTGACATTACCTTTTGATACAGACTTCTTTAGTCGAAAATTAAGATGTAGCCGGAGGTCAAATTATTAATAAAAAAATAAGTTAAAAGCAATCTCCCATGGTGGACCCACATGTTTATCTAATGTAATGGGGCTGGATCGGAAAGCCATATTTCATTCTAAACTTTTCAATAAAAAATGGATTTTAGGGTTAATAGAATCCGTAATTTTTAAAATTTGTCAAATTTTATTTAAATTTTTAATTAAAAAAATCTTTAATTAAATATCTAATTTTTTAAAGTTGTCATATTTTTACTTATGAAATTGTATAAGGGATAATAGTAGTCATATCATCAACTAACATTTCAAATAGCATACAAAAAGACCAAAGTAAAATTTTATTTAAGGATCAAGATAATATTATCTCAAAATTTTTTATATTTCAAATATATTTTTATAAAATATTAAATTTAAAATAATATTTTTATTATAATATAGTTTATTAGTTAAATAAATATATGTTTTTAACAAAAAATAAATATTAAACAATTAAATAAAAAACTTCATATCGTTTTAAAATATTAAATAAAAAATTTTATATTACTTTAAAAATAGATTTATTAATAATTCATAATTTGTTTCTATTGAAAAATTTTATTTTGAATATATTATTTATTAAATTTTTATATTTATAAATAATAAAAAATTGACAATCATTGTAGCTCTTACCATCGTCAATAAAGTAAGGAGAATAAATCGAATTGTTGAAAATAATATTTTTATTTTGTATAAAAATAAAATTTTTAATAAAAAATATATTTAAAATAGATTTTTTTGGATCAAAATTTTTTTTAAATAGATTAATAAATTTATTTTTTTTAAATATGAAAATATTTGCTTAATATTTAAAACAATATGAAGATTTTTATTTAATTTTTTAAAACGATATAAAAATTTTTACTTAATTTTTAAAATGATATGGAACTTTTTAAAAAAGGATTTTGAATTTTTAACTTAATTTTTTTAAAAAAATTATTTTCAATTAAAATATTATTTTATTGATAAATTATATCTTACTAAAAAATAAAATTATTTTAAATTAGAAGATTTTATAAAATATATTTCAAATAAAAACAATTTTTTATTTAATTATTTTTGTTTTTTCTTCTTTATAAAATAGAGTTGAAAAGGAAAAAGAATATATATTTAATATTTTGAATAGAAAATTAATTTTTTATAGAAAATAATATTTGCATTATGACTTCTCAGTAAAATAATATTTAATATAAATAAATTTTTAATTTTACTTTTAGAAATCTATTATCTATTAAAAACAAAATTATATTAACAAATAAATTATTTATTATAATAAAATATAAATATTATTTTAAATTTAATATGTTATAAAATATATTTAAAATATAAAAAAATTGAGATAGTGTATCTTTGATTCTTAAATTTTGAGTAACATTTTATTTTGGTCCCGTAATCTGTCACATAAGATACTACCTAATGTCATTTATATGGCACCAACTAACACTAGTTATCAATTGAGATAGTTTCATTGATTGAAAGACCAAAATAAATAACTTTGCACAATTAAATATCCAATTAGAATTTTTAAAAGATTATAAATCAAAATAAAATTTGATTCAAAATTTAGGAATTATGGATACTATTAACCTAAAAACTTAAAATAGGGTAAATTTTAGAAACATACTTTGTAGTTAAGGCCGGATTCAATTTGCCTCTTGATATTTCAAAAAGATTATATGTAATTTGGCTCCTAAATTAAATTACTTTTCACAATTAAATATCTATAGAAAAATTTTATAATTTGGTGCTGAAACTTTCATTCTATCACGTTATTTGCCCCCAAACATCAACTTCATTAATAATATGTTGATATAGCAAGCAAATCGACGAATAAATTATGATATGCGATGCATTTCATTGGCCAATATCTATCACATCATCATTTGTCAAATACATTAACAATTTACACACTTACTTACACTTAATGATGTTATGTATAAAAAGAAAAAAAATTCAATATGAGTACTGTTAGATTTGTTAAAACGTATAAATATTTTTAATAATATAAAAATTAAAAATAAATTTTAAAATGAGTTTTTTTAGTTAGAGTTAAAGGAAATATAATAAAAATATAATAAATATTGATATCTTATTAAAAAAATCAATTGGAAGACTTTGCTAATTTTTTTGAATAAAAGTAGATTAATAAATCTGATGACAGAGTATTTTCAGAGTGAAACATTAGTCTCAATGAATACTTTTGAGGTGAGAGAATTATCTTAAATTGCTATCAACTATTATGATAATTTTAGGATTAATTTTTAATATTAAACAATTTGATAAATTATAAATATGATTAAGGTTTGGATAATCTGAAAATCAAACAGATAATGTCATTTGGATTGACGCTATAGGGGTGCTATAATTTTTCTCATGCGTAACCATACTCCCGAACCTAAACTCTAGTTTTATAGATCAAAATTTCCTTCAAGTGGCCAAACTCCTCTTATTTATGTCTAACGGTTGGTCCACGAATTTATACGTTATGATTAAATTTAAATATTTTTGTTAAGGAAGAGCTGTTTTGAAGCTAAGAATGATATTAAAAATTTCAGATGTTTGTTTTTATATTTCAAGCTTTTGTTCAGGATGAGCTTTTTTGAATGAGAATTTTAAAGTTACAAGTCTTTATTGAAGATGAACTTTTCTGACATGATTTTATCTTTTCAAAGTTGAAGCTTCGTGGACGAGTTATTTATTTTTTCAAAAGTTGAAGCCTTGAAGGAAAAGTTATTTATTGTTTAAAGTTGAAGACGCATGTTAACCTTAAATTAATTATTATTTTGAAATGACAAAACATTAAGCAAAATCTTTTTCTTTTTGTTTTTATAGGGTTTATCATTTATAATTGTACAAATGTTGCTGATGGGAGTTTGCTTCATCTAATTTTAGTAAAAGAGAAACAAAATTATTTAATTTTTGCATGCAAATATTTATAGCATGCTTCAATAATTTCTATTTAAGGTTGACATATAATTGTGTTTGGTTAGGTATTTGATGATTTTAATTTGTCAGTTTAATCAAAACTCTTTGTCATAATAGACTGTATATTCATTTACTGCTCATCTAACCTTCACCAACTCCCTTCTTGCCATTGCCCATATCTTATATTAATTGCATTGAAACAAACATGGCCTTAAATACCACCACAACCCATTGTAAACTCATGGAAAAAAAAATGTTCAGGAAATGAAAAGTAATAAGTTGTACTTTTCTTTGATTTTTATTAAGAAAATTATATATAAATTTTTTTCATATTTTTTAGAAGATATTTTGTCATAATTTTTTATAATGACCGTTCTAAAGATAATTAACATTTATATATTCATTAATCTACATGATGATTCTTAATGCATTAAATAGAAACTAGATATTGTCTACTCACCGCAAGAAAATGTAAAAAAAAAATATGTTTTTTAGTAAGTTATCCAATAATATCATGTGCTTGGGCAATTTTTTTTTTTTAACGTAAGGAAGATTTTTAATGATATTAGATGAGTAAAATTTTAAAAAATTGGAAGGCATAAATATTCTTAATTACATTTTATATTATAATTATAATTTTTATTTTTAAGTAAATTTATCAACTGAGTTAAAGTTTGATTAACTCGTAACACCAACTCATTCAAACCCTTTAATATACAAATGTCTTCAAAATATTTACTTTTTTTTTTGAAAGATTGAGTATTAAAATAATGATCTAGTAGAACATGATTTTTGTTAAATCTTTTTATAATGTACATAAATGAAGGAAATAATAGTTTTATTTTTTTGTAATCAAGATTATTAAGAATAATATTTGATTATTAAAATTAAAAATTTAATATTATACTAATAAATCATGAGACTATTAGGTAATAGTATTTAGTTAACATCGTCCAATCGTTTTTTTAACATTTGTTGAAATTTTTTTTTGTATAAATGAAATCGTAGTTAAAGGATAAAGAAAGAAATTGTAATTGTTGAAATTTAAACTTTAAATTCATTAAATGCTTAGATATTACTTTTTAAAAATAATTGTATGAATCAAAATATTAAATCTTATGTTCTTTGAAATATTTTTTTAATAAATTATGATACATGCTTAACATTAATTTATGTTTTTTTTTTTTTGTTTCCTATTTATTGATTAGTTTGGGCAACAAGGATTATTGATGAACATATATCCCATTCCTATTAATTGACTTCCCCCGTTTCTCATAAACAACTTTGACATAAATTGTAGGGAGAAACAATTAAAAAAAAGAAAATAATTTATAATGAAAAACAAGCCATCTTGAACAACATCTGACATATCTTTTGAATTAGATGAGTTGTTATTTTCACGTGCAGGCCAATCAGCTTATACTTTATAAACAAGTTTCATAATTTTCTATTTATGCATTAATTTTGACTTGGCTTTCAAAATGATTTTGTCTTTTTTTTATTTTTTTTAAGATTTGTTTTGATGAATGATAAGATTTGTTTCAATAAAATTAAAATTAATAATAAAAATAATATTAATTATTATAATAGTAAGGTTGAGTACTATAATGATAAAATTAAAATCAATAAAGAGATATATATTTAAATGCAAATATAAAGACGTTAATTAGATAAAATGCAGTGAGAGCATAAAAAGATTTTTAAATATATTAGATTAAAATTCGTATATAGTAAAATTTAGATTGTATGTCTAATATTTATAAAATTAATAAATAATTAAAAATTATGAAAATTATATATAACAATATTTTTGTAAATAAATATTTTCAAAATATTTATATGTATATCTTGTTAATTTATGCATAGTCTAATTACTTCATGATGTAGATTATCTTTATGCAAAGCAAATGCGAACTGGTTGGATGGGGGTTTAACTCTTTTTAAAAAATTCAAAGGTTAAAAATAAATTTTATATGTAATAATATTAAATGAATATATTTTAAAATTTTTTTGTTACAAATTTAATATATATTAAACTTTTCAGGTGAAAACAATTGAAACTTTGATGGAAAGTATCTAAATGTTCAAGTTTATTTTTTAGTATGCACGTTATTTTTCAGAAAAAATAATTTACTGTCCAAGAGTAAAATAAGACTTAATTTTCCACCGAAAAAATTCCCTATCATTGAGCCAAAAGGAATACAACATTAAAAATGCTCCCAAGGTGCCACATCTTGGCCCCGATAGATTTCAAACGGCCCCACGAGGTGATCGACGAGGTTAGAACCAAAAGTGGCCCTCAATTGTGCCTTATCTTAGCCCGATAAATTTTAGATTAGGAGTGAAAATAATATATTAATATTTAAAAATTATTTGAGTTTGGTTAAAATAAAATTTAAATTTAATTTAATTTTTATTGAATCAAGTTTGAGTTTGAATAATTTGATTTATTAAATAAATCGAGTTTGAATATTTTAATATTTATTTTAAATAATTTATAAATTTAATCGAATTTTTAAATTTAATATATTTTATTATTTTAATTAAAAATTATTATTTTACTTTTATATGTATCAATTTGACTTTAAACTCAAGTTTGTATACATAATAAGTTTTTAATCTGAGTATAAAAATAACACTCATTTTTTATTAAATGAATCTAATTGAATAAATTTAAATAATTTAATTTTTATTTTGAATTTAAAAATTAAAATTTGATCGAACTCAAATAAAATTTTAAATAATAAATTTTAAGTTAAATTTGAATTCAAAATTTTTTTTTATATCAACTCAATTTTATTCAATTATCCTTATTTTAAATAAGACTTTAAGCATTAGAAAAATACACTCACCATAGCCCTAACTTTCTTCGCTCTTTGACAAAATCTAGCCGAATTCATCACACATCAACACAAATCAAACATGAATTATTCTCTAATCTCACTAAGTAAACGAGCAATAGACATTTTTTAAAACTTTGTAATTTCTTTTTATTTTCCAAAAGGAAACCCTTTGAACGTACCGACATCCCCGCATTGGCATTCAAATTTAAAAAGAAATGGACCAAAAGACCGGCAAAATGGAAAATCGTTTTTAAAACACACCTGGCGATGGCCACGATCGTAATTTAAACCAAACTACAAGGACATTTTCCGTAGCCAATCTCAAAAGAATCAATCCGAGAACTCAACTCGCTCTCTATTCTCGCCCACGTCCCAATTCCTAAACCAACCAATCTGATTGGTCAAACCAACGTGTCCCCTTTATATTACCGCGAGTTTATATATACCTCATACTCGCGAGCGTAAGTCATTTTCCGACTGATGTGTCTCCCTCTGTAAAACGCACCGGCGGGTGGATATCTAGTTTCTCGTTTCTTACATGCTAGCTTGTCGCGTTTTCTTACAGTAGTTTCTTTTGTTATTCAAAAACCTTTATTTTTAGATTGTTTTTCGTAGAATTTTTAGGTTTTTAATCGAAAAAATGGCTTTGGTTTCATTCGTCGGAAGAGTTCTTTTCGCTTCAGTGTTTATCCTCTCTGCTTGGCAAGAGTAAGCCTCACTTCGGATCTGCACTTTTTTTTTCCTTTTTGCTTTTAACTTTTCGTTTTCTGTTTTGTAATGAGACTGTTTGATTCTCGAGAAAAAAAAGCAAGAAAAAAGATAGATAGTTTGGATCTTAATTCAGATTTCGAACTCAGAGCTCTTCTGAACTATTAAAGTAGAGTTAGAATTTAATTAATCTTAGATTTTTTTAAGCAAATGATTGATAAATGTTGCTAGCTTTGTTGGAAGAATTAGTACAATTTGAGGTGCTATTAAGAGTAAAACTTCTATGTCAAATTTGAACTTTATTGCTAATGTGGCTTGTTAGGATTGCTTAAATGTTTAAGTCTTATGGCAGGTTTTTTTTTTTTTTATATATATATATATATATATATATTAATCTGCAGTAATATTAATGCTTAAGTGCTGAATGAGGTTTATAAGTTAAACCTTCTCTTTTAAGTTCTAGATATCATGGATGCCATAAATTTTATAATGATTGGTGTTGGGTAGCAGTTGATGTGTTGTGTAAAAGAGAAATAAAGAGTGTTAGGAGTATGCACTCGAGCATTTGGCTCAAGTGGTTGGTGCATGATTTTTAACTCAAAGATTAGGGTTTAAATCTCCTGTTTTCCCGAATCCAAAACAAAGTTTTTAGTATGGATTTTTGTTGCTTGGAACATTCTTATTTGTAGCCATATTAGTAAGTTTATTTGTTTATATTTTGCACCATAATACGGTTTTGAGATTGTTATCCTATCTATTGATGGTGGAGTTTGAAATTCCAAAAGGGTTTTAAAAATTTTCCATGTCCCGGTTAATATGTAAATAAGTAAATCAACATTGAAATTTGAACAATGAAATCGATATGTTTAACTAGAAGGATGCATGGAAATCATTCAAAGCTGCTAGAGACCATTTTTTTTTTTTAATTGAATGTCTGTCTATGGAATGATAATCTGTAATTCTGTTCACCTAAGTAGGGTTTTTGGAAGGCTATGGCCTATGTGAATATGATGTAAATTTTTAACATTATCATTGTGTTTCAAGGTAATTTTTTGTCTGCACATATAATTTTCCATATAACTTAGATTGGCTAAAACATATGTATGCATGTATGTATGTATGTTCTGTCATGCTTGTGTCTACTCTTACGTTATGTGTTCATGTGTATAGGTTTAATGAATTTGGTGTTGATGGAGGGCCAGCGGCCAAGGTATTGAAACCAAAACTCAATGTCTTCTCAAAGATCATGTCAGCTCATACAGGGGTGCAAGTGCCAGAATTTGATGTAAGAATTGCTATATTTCGCCACTGAAACCTCTTTGTTCTCTGCTCATATCTTGTTTTTCTAATGTCATGACTCTTGGATTTATTATTTACAGATTAAGTATCTAGTTGCTGCTGCTGGTGCCATTAAGGGTGTTGGGGGTATTCTTTTTATCTTTGGCAGCAGTGTTGGATCTTATCTTCTGGTTTGTTTTGTGGTCTTATGTGTTATTTTCTGTTAGTAGTTCAATTATCAACTAAGTCAACTGATAAAAGTATTACACTATTCTTCTTTTGTAGGTTCTGCAACAGGTCATTCTTACTCCTATATTGTATGACTTCTACAACTATGACATGGAAAAGAAAGAATTCGGTCTACTTTTCACAAAGTTCTCACAGGTTAGTACTTGGTAGTATTTATTTTTCCATAAGGAATAAGGGTTGATTGGTGTTTTCATTTCTTCCTTCTGATTGTACATTTCTTCTTGGTGATTCTTTTCAAACTATAGATGTAGATGATGAAAATTTCAATGTATTTCTAACTGAATTTCCTTTACTTCTTAGAACTTGGCGCTGTTAGGGGCATTGTTCTTCTTCATTGGCATGAAGAACTCAATCCCCAGGAGACAACTCAAGAAAAAGACTCCAAAAACCAAAACAGTTTGAAGAGGAACATGCGGTAAACCAAGGGTGTATTTTCTTGTTCAATATCTGCTTACATTAATGAATCCAGATCTATTTTTGTATGCTTATATCAAGGTTTTGTTCCTTCAAGATTAGGGGAAAAAGGGCATATTACTTTGACAGTTTGATACTGATAAATACCAAGTTCATGTCAATTTAATTGAGTTTCTGAAAGAATTTGATAATTTTGCTTTTGAATCTGCTGCATTTTTTTTTATTTTTTTGGTTTTGCCCGTTTTCATAGAATTTTTAATCATGGATTCATGGTGCTTGTTGATTTTATATATGAGGAAACATACTTATTAGGTAACTTTGGGGTCATGTGCAAAGTGTGACAAGTGACACTGATTTTGAGAACCTTCAACTGTTGAGAAGTAGAATGAGAGCAACTAATTAATTTTAGTTGAACTGCACTCTGCTAGTCATCTATCATAGGACATTGTTTCTATTTGCTACTACATAAAATCCTCAATCACTTCCTGCAGGTTAAAGGGTTCTTATTACCTTTGATATTCCCTTAGGATCTGAGAAGTCATAGATTTATTTGGATGGTGATCAGACTAGTTTCTGTGAAATTGAAAATAACGATGGCAATAAGATTGGGCATTGTAGCGGTGAGATTAAAATAAGTAATGGAAATATGTTCTTAGATTGGGGGCCAAAATCCCGTTCAAGTCCATTACACAAATGGAATATTCCTAGATTGCGCTTCTGCATTGAGGAGCATTTTAGATGAACATAGCTTGGATGAGTGCATGAACCGACTGCTACATTTTTTGCTTTTCTACAAGAGGAAAGATATATGTTACGCTTCCTCAATAGTCAAGATGGCTCTCTTTCTGAAAGTGATTGGCTGGATCAGGAATTGCTAGTGTATGGTCAATGACAATATAGGTCTAAAATGAGCCATTGCAGCACACGAAAACAGATTCGTTTGAAATTTGTGTATCATATTGAGAGAAAACAAGGTATCTATGAGGAATGTCACTAGCTAAGTTATCGTCAGTTCATTTCTACAAGAAACTGTGGAAATTGTTACTGTTATCATTAAGAAATCAAACAGCTGGGCCAAGTGTTGCTATTAGCCTTGTGTCCTGGCAAATTCGTTGGCCTAATCCTCAATTTCATAGTTTTTTTTTTTTTTTTTTTTTTGTGAATTTGAGTTGAAATTGGTTTTGACGGAAATAAAAATAAAAACAGAAGTAAGATTAATTAAAAATTATTTTTAAGTTAAGTAATACCTTTGTTAATAAATAACAAAAAATTAATAAAATTATAATAATATATTAAATAATATTTTTTTTCTTTATCTTCTTTATTGTTATCCAAATGGATTGTCATGACATAATTGAGCAAGAAAGTTCTCCAATCGTACAGTGCTTTGGTTTTGTCTGAATCCAAATGAGTCTTAAATAGCAAAAACAGTGACACAATTTTACAGTATCCAAATGAGTCTTAAATAGCAAAAACAGTGGCACAATTTTACAGTACTTACACATATGTACATATAATTTATTTTTCTCATATCAACCTTTTAATCTAATAAAAAAGTTATCTCTTTTTTTTTATTGTTCAAAAATATTATTAGAAAATAATTATGTGTATGTTTCTAACGTGTATGAATAATTAGTAATGCTATTTCACATCACATTTATTAAGTTTTAGGATCCATTTGAATAAATGATAAATGTAAAAATAATTATTGTAATAGTGAGATTAAAATCAATAATGATACTATAAATTTGAATATAAATGCAGTAATAATAATAAATTGAATTATGATGAAGAGAGAAATGATTATTAAAAATATTAAATTAAAACTTATAAGTAATAAAAATTTTAAATTATTTAATATTTATAAAATAAATAAATAAATAATTATTAAACTATTTTTATGATAAATAATAGTTTTATTAATAAAATTAATTTAAAAGTATAATATTTTTATTACATTAATTAACAAAATTATTTTATATTTTTAAATAAAAATTAAAATAAAAAATAAATTAAATTATAAAAATATTTTTATCTCTTCGATATAATTGACAGAGTTAAAATATAAAAAAGAACAATGGCAATCCAACGTTTGACCACTGGACCCAAAACAACCCGCAGAAAAAGGCATATTTTCTCGCCACAGCTTAAACATCCAAACTAAAAGTCAATGCAATCCGCACAAATTTTTCATAGAAAACTTAACCCCACTGGAGGTGGTTTGAATGCAAAAAAAACCTTAGTTTATATGTGATCCTACATTTTAAGTTCATGGTCTCCATCAATTATCACTTGGCTTATATTCAGTGGTAATATTTAGCAAGCAATTAATGATCATATCGTGAGATTTTTTATTGAAAATAAATAAATAAAATTAAAATTAAAATTAATAGATTAAAAAATTCACAGTTATAGTGTTTCCAGCTCACTATCACGAGGCTAAAACTCATGTCTATGAGTCAAAAGTTTCTTCTATCATTGCCTTACTTTTCACTTTCACCATCACTGGCTAAAAGCGTCAAGCTTCCTTTACTTTTTGTTGAAACTTGCTAACGGAGGAAGAAAATGGAGATCACCAAACTAAAGCCTGAATATGATCGAACAAGTGAATTGAAAGCTTTAGATGAAACAAAAGCTGGTGTTAAAGGACTTGTTGATGCTGGAGTTAAAGAGGTTCCTTGGATATTCCACCAACTTCCAGACCAGTTTGAGAAGAACTCAGTTTCAGGTGGCATCCAGGTTAGTATTCCTGTTATAGACCTTGAGGGAGTGAAGAAAGATCCAGGTGCTCGTCAGAAGATTGTTGAGAAAGTTCGGAATGCATCAAGATCATGGGGATTCTTCCAAGTTGTGAACCATGGAATTCCTCTGAGTGTCCTGGAGGAGATGAAGGATGGCGTACGAAGGTTTTTTGAGCAAGATTTGGAGATGAAAAAGCAGTTCTACACTCGGGATTATACCAAAGGGGTGGCCTACAATTGCAATTTTGATCTGTATAGTTCACCAGCAGCCAACTGGAAAGATACACTTTATAGCTTAATGGCTCCCAATCCTCCCGTGCCAGAAGAGTTACCGGAGGTATCCAGGTATTCATGTTCTATGTTCTGTATAATTCACAAGGAGATAGCACTGTTAACTGTTTAGGTGAAAATATGCCAAGAAAAAAAACAAAAAAGAAAAAAAAATGAGTAATTGAAGGAGTGCCAGAATGGGTGTAGAATAAAATGTCCACATCTGTCTTGCTGAGGAGTTGATTTGTAGCCGCTGGTCGTGCTAGGCTTTCATTCCATTGGTCTGTCGCAATCTAATTCACGCAGCCACAATCCTAATTTACCAACCGGAAAATCTTATGATATCTTGATGTTTAGTCGAAAGTCATGTGGTCTGTTGGTAGGATGTCGAACTCTTAGTTTCAGTTATTAGAATTTCACTAGTGATAACCTCAAATACTAAAAAGAAAAAAATTTGATGTTTAATCTGCAGCAGTTGTAGTTACTGAAGATTATAATTAACCACCTTAACTCACCATGATTTACTACTCTGTAGTTAAACAAATGAAGGACCAAGGACGAATGTACCATGAAAAAAGAGTAAGGGATGAGATTACGAGGTAGAATTACTTTCCTAACCATAAGAACTCTCATTTCATTTCTTTGTTTTCAATCACAAATCTGTAACCGAAATCTACTTGCTGTCTGCCTGTGTGGTTCATTGATTCGATATCTAAATTGATGTACTTAAAATGACCACTTATGTGCTTAAGTTGTTTGTATTGTAGAGACATAATGATGGAGTACTCAAAGCAAGTAATGCATTTGGGTTATTTTTTGTTTGAGTTACTGTCTGAGGCTCTAGGGTTGCAGCCTGATCATTTGAAAGACATGGATTGTGCTAAAGGGCTGACTATGCTGTCACATTATTACCCCGCATGTCCACAGCCAGAACTCACTCTGGGTGCAACCAAGCACTCTGACGATGACTTCCTCACGGTGCTTCTGCAAGACCATTTTGGTGGCCTCCAAGTTCTTCATGACAACCAATGGGTTGATATCCCCCCAACTCCTGGAGCCCTAGTGATTAACATCGGAGATCTTCTAAAGGCAAGCCTTTATTCTTTATTTTTGTTAGTTTTATTTAGATATGACAATCCGTCAAGGAGAAACAGAGGAGGCACCGCAGAGAGAAAAAAGTAAAGCTAGAAAATAGAGAGAGAGAAAAAAAAATTAGTTAAATAGAAATTGATTCGTGATTTGATTGAATTAAAATTTTATCAATGAATTTATGATTTAGAGTTTTACAGTTTAAAAAATGAAAATCGAATTTAAAGCTCTCTAAGAATAAATTTAAAGTGTATTTATTGAATTTTTTATTTGATGAGATTTTTTCAATTGTCTCTCTAGTTATTGATCAGCTCTAATTTTAATTAGAGAAAAATTTTATATATTCATTATTTGATAGTAAAAATTTTTCTAACAGTTTTATAATTTTTTCGTCTATATTAAAAGGTTTTTTTTTATGTAAATCTTAATATATTTTATTATTATTTTTATATTTTTAATTATTAATTATTATCTATTATTGTGAGTTATCCATTAACATAAGTTTATTATGATATTTACTTTTACATTGTTTTAATTATTACTTCAGACCCAACATCCAACTCAAAATCAAAAGGCTAAACTCAAATATACAAGTCAACGGCTTCTTCTATCATCGCCTTATTTTTCACTTTCATCACTATCTAAAAGCATAACGCTTCCTCTTCTCTTTGTTGAAACTTGCTAACGGGGGAAGAAAATGTTGATCGCCAAACTAAAGCCTGAATTGTTAGGAAAATGGGGTCCAGTCCCATGTAAGTGGTTTTGGACCAAGTAAAGGCCATGGGCCTTGATCTTTTATTTTACACAGAGCCCTAGCTACTTAATAAAAAAGAGGTGGGGTTGTTTAAGGTGTGTGTCGACAACCAAGCAGAGAAAGAAGAAAAGCCAGGAAAAGCAGAGAGAGAAAAAGGAGAAGGGAGAGTTGATTAAACGGAAGTCGATACGTGGTCCGATTGAGTTGGAACCTTGTCAGGAGGTTTATGATTCAGAGTTATACATTCTGAACGGTGAAGATCGGGTTTGAAGCTCTCTAGGAACAAATCCAGGGTGTATTTGTTGAGTCACTTATTTGGTGAGATTTCTCCAATTGTTTCTCTAGTTGTTGATTAGCTCTAGTTTTAGCTAGAGAAGAACTTTGTATAACTATTATTTGATAGTGAAGATTTTTCTGGTGGCCCGTGGTTTTTTCCCTCTACACTGGAGGGTTTTCCACGTAAATCTTGGTGTGCTTTATTTTTCCTGCGCATTTGATTATTGATTGTTGTCTATTGCTTCTGTATTGTTGTGATTATTGCTTCAGGCGCAACAAGTGGTATCAGAGCGAGGGTTATTTTGAGACATCGATACAGAAGCAACCCAGGATAGAAGTAAATTCTGTTTGAGATCATGGAGGGTGATACAGGTTCCATGATAAAATTGACAGCATCAAATTATTCAATTTGGAAGCCTATGATGGAGGATCATCTATACTGCAAAGATTTGTATGAGCCAGTATTGGGTGATTCGGCTAAACCAGCAGATATGAAAGATGAAAGCTGGAAGAAGCTAGGTAGAAAGACGCTGGCTACAATCAGAAAATGGGTTGATATCAGCGTGTTCCATCATGTAGCGCAGGAATCGGATGCTCACATTGTTTGGGAAAAATTGGCAGCATTGTATGAGAGAAAAACAGGTATGAATAAAGTTATGCTTGTTAAAAAGATTGCAACTTGTAAGTCTAAACATAAATCTAAGTTTAGAGGTAAAGTGAAGTGTTTCCATTGTGGTAAGGCTGGTCATATAAAACGAAATTGTAGAATCTTAAAGCAAGAGCGAAAAGATGAGAAAGGCAAGAGTTCAGATGATGGCAATGTTGCAGCAGTGAATTCAGATAGTGATTCAGTTACTTTGATTTGTACACATGGTGATTGTAATCATGTTAGTGATCCCGACATTGAGTGGATAGTTGACACAGGAGCGGCATATCATTGTGTTCCTAAGAGAGAGTTGTTTACAACTTACAAAGCAGGAGACTTTGGTTGTACCAAGATGGGAAACAAGAGTGTGTCGCAGATTGTTGGGATTGGTGATATTGGTGTACAAACTAGTACAGGCTGCATGTTGACTTTGAGGGATGTCAGACACATTCCAGATATGAGAATGAACTTGCTTGCTATTAATGTCCTTGATAAGGAGGGATATGAAAGCCGACAAAAGAATGGACAGTGGAAGCTTCTCAAAGGATCTATGGTAGTTGCAAAGGGAAAACTATGCTGCACAATGTATAAGACATGGATGCAATTGAACGGTAACCAGGTAAATACCGTTGAAAATGATGCTTCAGCAAACTTGTGGCACAGGAGGCTGGCACACATGAGTGAAAAAGGGTTACAGGTTTTGGCAAGGCACTCTCTCATTCCCTTGACCAAAGGTATGTCTCTCGATTCATGTGATTATTGTTTGTTTGGTAAGCATCATAGAGTTTCTTTTCGTAAAAGTTCTCAGAGAAAAGAAAATAGATTGGAATTAATTTATTCTGATGTATGTGGTCCCATTGAGGTTGAGTCATTAGGTGGTAGCAGATATTTTGTTACTTTTATTGATGATGCTTCACGTAAAACTTGGGTGTATATGTTGAAATATAAAAGTCAGGTACTGCAGTATTTTCAAAAATTTCATGTCATGGTTGAAAGGATGACAGGGTTACCCTTAAAGTGTATTTGAACTGATAATGGTGGAGAATACACATCTAAAAGCTTTGAAGAGTATTGCTCAAAGCATGGGATCAGGCATGAGAGGACAGAACCTGGAACACCGCAGCATAATGGTATAGCTGAAAGAATGAATCGCACCATTGTGGAAAAAGTCAGATGTATGTTGAGGATGGCAAAATTACCAAAGCCATTCTGGGGTGAAGCAGTCAACACAGCTTGTTATTTACTTAACAGGTCACCATCAGTTCCTTTGGGCTTTGACATTCCAGAAAGAGTGTGGACAGGAAAAGATGCTTCATACTCTCACTTAAAAGTTTTTGGGTGTAAAGCATTCATGCATGTACCAAAAGAGCAGAGGTCAAAGCTTGATAGTAAAGCTACACAGTGTGTGTTTGTAGGATATGGTGATGAGGAATTTGGCTACAGGGTATGGGATCCAGTAAAGAGAAAGACAGTCAGAAGCAGAGATGTGGTCTTTCATGAAAAAGAAACCATAGCAGACCTTGAGAAAAATGAGAAGACTACACGAGTTACTGTTGAGTGTGATGTTTCAACACCGACAGGGATTTCACAGGAAAGAGCCACAGATGGTGAAAATGAGCCAGAAACAGAACTTGGGGATATGAATGAGCCAGCCATAGTTGGTGATGAGCCAGATGCTATTAGTTTTGAGCAGGGGAGCAATCCTCTCTACCTGAGAGTGTTGAGCAGGGGGAGCTACCTTCAGCATCAAGTGATGTAGAGTCTCAGCTCAGGAGATCTACTAGAAAGCGCAGGCCATCTACCAGGTATCCAAGTTCAGATTTTATTTTAGTTACCAGTGAAGGGGAGCCAGAAAGCTTTCAAGATGTGCAGGCTACTCCGGATAGAGAGCACTGGTTAAAAGCAATGAAAGAAGAGATGGAGTCATTGCGAAAGAATGGTACTTATGATCTTGTTAAACTTCCAACAGGGAAGAGGCCATTAAAGAATAAATGGGTGTTCAAGTTGAAAAAGGATGGTGACAAACTAGTGAGGTACAAAGCTCGATTGGTAGTAAAAGGTTTTTCTCAGAAACCAGGCATCGATTTTGATGAGATTTTTGCTCCAGTTGTAAAAATGAGTTCTATTCGAGTGGTACTGGGATTGGCAGCTAGTTTGAATCTTGAGCTTGAGCAACTTGATGTTAAAACTGCATTTTTGCATGGTGATTTGCAGGAGGACATTTATATGAATCAGCCTGAGGGTTTTGAAGTGAAAGGGAAAGAGCACTTAGTTTGCAAATTGAAGAAAAGCTTGTATGGCTTGAAACAAGCTCCGCGACAGTGGTACAAGAAGTTTGATTCTTTTATGGTGAGTCATAGCTATAAAAGAACAGCAGCGGATTCTTGTGTATATGTTAAACAATTCCCTAATGGTAACTTCATTATCCTATTATTATATGTTGATGATATGTTGATTGTAGGACAAGATGCTAGTATGGTTTGCAGGTTGAAAGAACAATTGTCTAAGTCTTTTGATATGAAAGATTTAGGTCCAGCAAAGCAGATTCTTGGTATGGACATTATCCGGGATAGGAGAGCTGGAAAGCTGTGGTTGTCACAGGAAAAGTATGTTGAACGAGTGCTTGGTAGATTCAACATGCAACATGCTAAATCAGTTAGCAGTTCACTTGCCAACCATTTTCACCTAAGTAAGAAATCTTGTCCAGTGTCTAAGGAAGAGCAACTAGCTATGTCTAGTATTCCTTATTCTTCTGCAGTCGGTTCTTTAATGTATCTTATGGTTTGTACAAGGCCTGACATTGCTCATGCAGTTGGTGTAGTGAGCAGATTTCTTTCTAATCCAGGGAAGGTTCACTGGGAAGCAGTGAAATGGATTTTTAGATATTTGAGGGGTACCTCAAAAATGTGCTTGACTTATGGAGTTTCACAACCAGTTCTAGAAGGGTTTACTGATGCTGACATGGCAGGCGATCTTGATGGTAGGAAATCTACTTCAGGGTATTTGTTTACTTTTGCAGGAGGAGCTGTATCTTGGCAGTCTAAGTTGCAGAAGTGTGTTGCTTTGTCAACTACAGAGGCTGAGTATATTGCAGCAACTGAAGCATGTAAAGAAATGCTTTGGATGAAACGTTTTCTTCTTGAATTAGGGTTGAATCAGAAAGAGTATGTGGTATTTTGTGATAGCCAGAGTGCTTTAGATTTGAGTAAGAATACTATGTACCATGCTAGAACAAAGCACATTGATGTTAGATATCATTGGTTACGTTCAGTGATTGAAGAACAGCAGATGCTATTGAAGAAAGTCCATACTGATAAAAATGTGGCAGATATGTTGACTAAGATACTTCCCAGGGAAAAGCTTGAGCTTTGCAGTAACTTGGCCGGAATGAGTTCCCTGGCCAAGGTAAGTTCCAAATGAAATTGCT